TCAGGTACATGAGGCAGCCAACAAGCTCTGGGTACGGGCCACTCGGCTCTACGGACTCATCCGAAGGCAGAGCTGAGAGCGAGTGGCGAGTAGACAGAGGAGTGGCCTGAGGCGAGGAGTACGTGAAGTCGAAGCGCTGAAGGACCTGCTGCACCATGTGTGACTGAGTCAGGGTAATGGTGCGCTGTGCTCTGTCCCGGGTGATCTGCAAGCTAATGTAGCTGCGCAGTTCACCCAGGTCTGTGCACGTGTGTCTCTTCTGCAGCTCGGACTTCACGTAGGTGAGTCCAGCAGTGTCATCTGTGGCAAAGACCAAGTCGTCGACGTACACGAGGATGTAGAACGGCGGCAAAGAAGTGTCGGTGCGCAGAAACAGCGACGGGTCGGCAGTAGAAGGAGCAAACCCAAGAGCCGCAAGCGTAGTCCTCGGTGTGTCGTGCCACTCACGGGGTGCCTGGCGGATATCGTAGACTGGCCGCCGGAGGCTCCACTGGGTACCAGGAGGAAACGACCCAGTGAAGCCAGGTGGGCGGCGCAGCCAGATCTCCTCGAGCAGGCTGCCCTGCAGGAAAGCTGTGCTGAAGTCAAGAGAGTCAAGCTCGTAGTCGCGCTGAGCGGCTATGTGCAGCAGCACCCCAAGAGTGGTCATCTTCGGGGTAGGAGAGAAGGTATGAAAGTAGTCAACTCCCTGCTGCTGACTAAAGCCTCGAGCCACGTAACGCGCCTTGAAGACAGGCGGAGAACCCGGCGGCCGCTTCACCCTGAAAATCCACATGCCACTCACGATGTTCGCCCCAGGTGGGGGAACCTCGTCAACGTAGGTGCCTGTGGACTTCTAGGAAGCCATCTCTGCGTCCATGGCTGATTGCCACTGAGAGGAGTAGGGACCCTCGATCGCCTCAGCGTACGATCGAGGAGTCGGGATGTCTGGTGCATCCGGGTCTCCCTCAGGGGCAATCAGCGTGGACACGAGATGAGACAAAGCAGCAGCAAAACACATGGAACTCCTCCTGCGTGTCCTCAAGGACGTCCGTGCTAAGAGCACACTCACCCCCGACGGACGGAGGACAGACAGACTCAGACTCTACAACAAGACTAGCAGCGTAGTCTAGACGACAGCGAGCAGCAAAATTGACAAGCTCAGCAACCAAGGCAGACGCAGCAGTGGACTCAAAGGAAGGGTCAGTGACAACAGTAGCCAGGAGAGGCGTGACAGTAGGACTAGCAGCACGAAGAGAGCCGGACACCGGGTCAGCAAGAACAGGAAGAGAGGACTCTGGAGGAGACGGCAACAGGACACGCAGAGGAGAAGTGGAAGGACGCAGTGCCATCTGGTGTGTGCCTGGGACCGCAGGAGGACGTAGACGCGGAGCACGACGACTAGTGCGAGCAGCACGAACAGGCGACGCAGGAGTGGCAGCACGAAGAGAGTCAGACTCCGGGTCAGCAAGAGCAGGAAGAAGGGACTCTGGAGGAGATGGCAACGGGACACGCAGAGGAGCAGTGGAAGGACGAAGTACCATCTGGTGTGTGCCTGGGACCGCAGGAGGACGCGGACGCGGAGCACGGCCACTAGTGCGAGCAGCACGAACAGGCGACGGTGGCCGAGACGCAGGCTCAGACGCTCAACAAGACCTCCAGTAGGACCAGTGTAGGGAGAAGGAGCAGGTACGGGGGAGGCGGGCTGTAACTGTGACTGCGATTGGACAGGCTGTAGACTCTCTAAGAGAGGAGGAGGATCAGTAGAGGGCGGGAGGCCAAGAACCTGCTCAAGGAGCGGAACGAAGTACGGCCGCGGCCGTGCAGCGCCTCTAGAACCAGCAGGGACAGCACCAGTACCCCCAGCGGTAGCACCAGCGCCAGCAGAACCTCCAGCTCCAACAGCGCCAACTCCAGCACCCTCAGACGCACCAGCGCCAGCAGCACCTCAAGCGCCAACACCCCCAGCAGCTCCAGCACCAGCAGCTCCAACTCCAGCAGGACCGTCAGCTCCAGCACCCTCAGCAGCACCCCCAGGCCCAGCAGCTCCAGTACAAGCACCTCCAGGACCAGTGGCTCCAGAAACTCCAGCACCGACCCCAGGGTCAGCAGTAACAGCAGCACCTCCAGCTCCAGCAGCACGGCTCCAGCGCCGGGCAAACCACTCGCGCAGCTCCTGTGGAGAGGGTAGCTCCGGCCTAGACGAAGCACCCAAAGGGGCCCCAAACCCAGCACCGCCAGAGGCCACACGAGCAGACCCAGCACCCCCAGGCTCCGCACCCCCAGGCTCAGCACCCCAAGGCTCTGTACCCCCAGGCTCCGCACCCCCAGGCTCAGCACCCCCAGGCTCCGTACCCCCAGGCTCCGCACCCCTAGGCTGAGCACCCCCAGGCTCAGCACCCACAGACTCAGCACCCCCAGGCTCAGTACCCCTAGCAGTACCAGAGTCAACAGCTACCTTGACAGGCTCGACTGCATCTACTTGGGACACACCTGATGGGTTAGGACCCTAAGGGGGGAGTGGGTCTAGCGGGGGGGGACCTGGCGCAAGGAAGAGCGGCGGCGGAAGGAGGGGTGCAGTGCAGTAGGGGAAGAGACGGTAGTAAGGAACCGACTCGTCAAACGTGACGTCCTGGGAAGACAGAACACGGCGTGAGGTGGGGTGGTAAAACTGCCAACCAGACGCGTCAGGGGGGAAGCCACGGAAGACGCAGGGAACCGCACGGGGGGACAGCTTGTCTGTAGACAAGTCGCGGACAAACGTCCGAGATCCCCAGACACGAAACGCAGACGCATCGCCAACCTTCCCCGTCCACCGCAAGGTGGGGGAGGTCTCTGGCAAAGAGACCCGGGGCTGAAGGTTGATCTGATGCGCTGCGTACTGAACCGCAAACGGCCACAGAAAATGGGGGGCAGCCACATGGATCATGGACGTACGAGCGATGCCATGACCATGCCAATGCGGCGCTCAACAATCCCATTTTGCTGTGGAGAGGCTGGAAGCGTGAAGGTTTGGCGGATGCCCTATGCACGACAGAAGGCTCCCAGAAGGGCAGAGGAAAACTCCCCGCCTCTGTCAGAGTGCAGACGCAGAACAGGAAAGTCCGAGCCGAAACTCTCTCTGAGCTGGAGACGAGCTGCACGGATCCAGTCGATCAACACCTTAGTGATGTCACCCTTGCTGCGCCAGGGGAACACCGTGGTGTAACGCGAGTAGTCGTCAACCACCAACAGGAAGTAACGCTCGTGACCCTGGCCACGGACGCGGGCGGGGCCCCACACGTACATGTGAAGAGTCTGCAGCGGAGCCTCTGTCGGAGGAAACTCGGAGAAGTGAGGGGTGGCGCGCTGCCGCCCCTCGACGCAGGGAACGCAGGTATGGGCAGGCCCCAGAGGGAGGGGAGGGAGGGACCGGGGGAGATGAGAGACAAGGACACGGGAGGCCATGCCTCGGAGACGAGGCAGGGAGGGGTGACCAAGGCGGTGGTGCCAAAGGAGAGTCTGGTGGGACAGGAGACGACACAAGCAGGGAGCAGGCTCAGGACCAGACCAGGACACTGCAGCAAACACCTGACTCGACGCAGCTACCTGACCAGACTCAGCAACCGGAGGAGACTCAGTAGTCAGTGTGTACAGGCTCAACCCCGGCTGTCGGGTAAACGTGGCCAAGTGTCGGCCCGTCCGAGCACACGTACAGTGGGTCACCCGCTGACTCGCAGGAGTGAACTGGTCAACCCCCCCATCCTGTAGATCAGCACCACTCACCAAGCTCGTAGAGAACGAGGGGAGGTAGAGACCTTACAGGGTGCCAGAGGGTGTTGCCGTACACGGTAAGACAGTGGAGAAGTGGGCAAGGACAGGACCCCCAGAGGGGTCCGTCAGGGAGACCGCAACTGGCCGACTAAGTGGCGTAAGCGTGGTGCGGTCTCGAGACAAGGAGCGGGAAGCACCCGAGTCAAGGGTGAAGGTGTGTAAGGCCTGAGCCGACGTGGTACCTGAGAGAGCAGACTCACCAGCACCTGGGGCAGCAGACGCACTAGCACCTAGAGCAGCAGCCTCACCACCGCCGCCGCCGCCGCCTCCGCCTCCACCGCCGCCACCGAAGCCCCCACCCTCGCCACCACTCCCACCACCACCCCCACTCCCTCCGCATTCTCCACCGCCACCTCCACCGCCACCTCCACCGCCCCCGCCAGCCCCTCCAGCGCCCTTGCCCCTCTTTCCCTTGCCGGTGCGGCATCGCCCGCTAGGGGCAGACGCAGTGCCCACCGACTCGGTGCCAACGAAGTCGACGGCAACAGCAGAGGCAACAGAGGGCAAAAGGGGGGAGGGGGAGCACCCCTCAAAGACGGGGGCACGAGGGTCACCACGAGAGGCTCCTACAGCGACTATACTCTTCTCAGCTGCCAGGAGGCGCTCCTCGAGGTGGTCAATGGTGAGTGTGGTGGGGCAAACTGAGAGGAAGTGGTCCCTGACCGAGTGAAGGGAGTCAGGGAGCCGGGTGACTATTTAGTAGAGGGTGATGTATATGGGGGGGGGGGGTTCTTGGCGCAGAACTCAGCAGGAAGCTCGGCGCGGTAGCGGGTGTCACTAGTGCGAAGGTGCGTAACGAGGTCAGCGACTGTGGGAAAGGCGGCGAGGTCAGGAAACAGGCTCGGCATCATGAGGCGGCTAAGGGCAGCAGTGGCAGGGGAAGAGTAGCGTGCAACTACAACATCGTACAAGGTCTTAGCACTCTTGTACTGACTAAAGTGCGCGCGCTCAGTGGACGGCAAGTGACTACGCACAGGAAGACGGGCAGCAACATCGCGTGTGGCCCACTGTGAGTGAACAGTACTGTCAGCATCGGCAGCAGGGGCAGTAGAGGCGCCAGACGTGAGATCGAACAGGGAGAGACCGTCCTTCCTATCGCACTGTAGGAAAAGCTGTAGATCATCGACCCTGACCTCAAAGTCAACAGCCCGACCCTCAGCATCAAAGACTAGAACACTAGGGGTAGCTATGACAGCAGTGGCAGCAGGCTAGGGGCAGTAGTAGCAAGCGTGGCTCGGCAGTGCTCTCACTAGGGCTGGTAGGTAGGGGCCGGCAAGCGGTGGGGCAGGGCCGAGGCGCGTCGGCAGGGATAGAGCCGCGACCGCAGCGGCAGCTCCTGCTGTCGGCGGCGATGGCTGCTGCTGGTGGTGGCCGCCGCTGGTGTTGGCGGCTGCTGCTGCTGCTGTCGGCTGGTGCTGGTGGCAGCTGTTGCTGGCGGCGGCTGTTGCTGGTGGCGGAGGAGCCGAGGAGGGGCCGGGAAGGGTGGCGACGGGGCCACGAAGGGCGGCGACGGGGCCGAGAAGAGGCCACGAGGGGCCGTGAAGGGCGGCGACGGGGCCGCTAGAGACGGCGACGGGGTCGCGAAGGGCGGCGACGGGGCCGCTAGGGGCGGCGACGGGGCCGCGAAGGGTGGCGACGGGGCCGCTAGAGGTGGCGACGAGGCCGCGAGGGGCGGAGACGGGGCTGCTAGTGGCGGCAACGGGGCCGCGAAGGGCGGCGACGGGGCCGCGAAGGGCGGCGACGGGGCCGATAGGGGCGGCAACGGGGCCGCTAGGGGGTGCGACGGGGCCGCGAAGGGGCCGCGAGGGGCCTCGAAGGGCGGCGACGGTGCCGCTAGGGGCGGCGACGGGGCCGCGAAGGGGCTGTGAGGGGCCTAGAAGGGTGGCAATGGGGCCGCAAAGGACGGCGACGGGGCCGTATAGGGTGGCGACGGGGCCGCTAGGGGTGGCGACGGGGCCGCTAAGGGTGGCGCGAGGGGCCGTGAGAGGGGCCTCTAGGAGGGCGCGACAGGCCGCTAACGGCAGGGGACGCGACGAGAGGGCGGCCCACGGGGCGCGCCTCGGGCACGGGCGACTCGCGCTCCGGTCAGGATTTTTTTTTTTTTTTTTTTTTTTTCGATTTCAGTGGTGGGCCCTAGGAAGCGTTCCCACAAGGGAACCTGCTCTATACCATGTGAAGAAATGAGGAATGAATGAACTAGCAAACAGGTGGGTACAAGTAGGAAAACCTAAAAGTGTTGTACCCCATATAGTCTACCCCACTACAGCCTACACAGACTATAGCATATGAGTTTGACAACAGTCCCGTTGCTTCTCCTGTCTGAGCGACACTTGGCGTGCAGAGTTTGGCGACTTGGCTGAGCTCCCCCGCTGGCTAGAGCTGCTTAGGCAGGGTGTGGATATCTTTGATCTAGACTATGACGCTATCCTCACTGCCATGTATGCCTTGACTATTAGTACTCAAGGTGACTGTTACCCGTGTGTCCCGCGCGACCCTGGTATAGCTGCTGCTGCTCTAGGTGCAGGTAAGTCTGCTCTCTCTAGTACTGTGCCAGCTGAGGCCTTGCACACCTTCACACTTGACTCAGATGCTTCCTGCTGCTTCTTTCACGACAGCACCACAGTCACACCACTCGCCGCACCGGTTGTAGTCTCTTTGGCTGACTCCTCTTGGGGACCGGTTCGTGCACGTTCCTCCACTGTTCTCCCGTGTCCTGCGGTTCCGTCTAGTTCACTGTCAGGTCTTCACCTCCTCATTTTCTCTACGAACTTGGTGAGTAACGCCCCCCATGTACATCACCCTCTACTACATAGTCACCCGGCTCCCTGACTCCCTTCGCTTAGTGAGGGACCACTTCCTCTCAGTTTGCCCCACCACACTCACCGTTGACCTCCTCAAGAAGCGCCTCCTAGCACTAGAGAAGAGCATAGTCGCTGTAGGAGCCTCTCGTGGTGACCCTCGCACCCCCATCTTTGAGAGGTGTTCCCCCTCCCCCCTCTTGCCCTCTGTTTCTTCTGCTGCTGCGGACGACCTCGTTGGTTTAGAGTCGGTCGGCGCTGCGTCTGCCCCTAGCGGGAGACGCCGCACCGGCAAGGGCAAGGGGGGCAAGGGCGCTAGAGAGGCTGGCGGGGGCGGTGGAGGTGGTGGTGGAGGCAGTGGAGGGTGTGGGGGTGGTGGTGGGAGTGGTGGCAGGGGTGGAGGTGTCGGTGGCAGCAGTGGAGGCGGTGGAGGCGGCGGCGGTGGCGGAAGCGGTGGAGGTGGCGGAGGCGGCGGAGGTGGTGGAGGCGGCGGCGGCAGCGGTGGAGCTGGTTGCGGCTCTGCGCAGAGGAGTGGCTCCGGTGGTGGTCAGCGCCAGCAGCAGCAGCGCAGTCATGAGACCTTGTCCCCTCAGCAGCTTCGTGAGTGGTATGCTGTGCGTCAGTGCGGTGGGGGTACTGGTCCCTGCACCTACGTCCTCCGTACCGGCGACCGCGCTGGTGAGCAGTGCGGGGGCCCGCACTCCACCCAGCGCTGCTTCGGCCGCCTGACGGACGCGTGGCGTCACCAGTTCCCTGAGGCCTCTAAGATCCCTCGCTGGGGAGAGCTGTCAAAGGCGGGGGTTGCTATCTTTGATCTTGATTATGATGCTATTCTTGCTGCCATGTATGCTGTGTCTGATAGTGTTGAGGGTGACTGTTACCTGTGTGTTCCGCCTGACCCGGGCATTGAGGCTGCTGCTCTAGGTGCTGGTGAGGCTGCTGCTCTAGGTGCTAGTGCGTCTGCTGCCCTAGGTGCTGGTGAGTCTGCTCTCTCAGGTACTACGTCGGCTCAGGCCTTACACACCTTCACCCTTGACTCGGGTGCTTCCCGCTCCTTCTTTCGAGACCGCACCACGCTTACGCCGCTTAGTCGGCTGGTTGCAGTCTCCCTGGCGGACCCCTCTAGGGGTCCTGTCCTTGCTAGCTTCTCCACTGTCTTACCGTGCCCGGCAGCCCCTCTAGCACCCTGTCAGGTCTCTACCTCCCCTCGTTCTCTACGAACTTGGTGAGTGGAGCTGATCTACAGGATAGGCGGGTTGACCAATTCACTCCAGCGAGTCAGCGGGTGACCCAATGCACGTGTGCTCGGACAGGCCGACACTTGGCCACGTTCACCCGTCGGCCGGGGTCGAGCCTGTACACACTTACTACTGAGTCTCCTCCGGATGCTGAGTCTGGTCAGGTAGCTGCGTCGAGTCAGGTGTTTGCTGCAGCGTCTAGGTCTGGTCCTGAGTGTGCTCCCTGCTCGTGTCCTCTCTTGTCCCACCAGACTCTCCTTTGGCACCACCGCCTTGGTCACCCCTCCCTGCCTCGTCTCCGAGGCATGGCCTCCCGTGTCCTTGTATCTGGTCTCCCCCGGTCTCTCCCTCCCCTACCTCCGGGGCCTGCCCCTACCTGCGTCCTCTGCGTCGAGGGGCGACAGCGCGCCGCCCCTCACTCCTCCGAGTTTCCTCCGACAGAGGCTCCACTGCAGACTCTTCACATGGACGTGTGGGCCCCGCCCGCGTCCGTGGCCAGGGGCACGAGCGTTACTTCCTGTTGGTGGTTGACGACTACTCGTGTTACACCACAGTCTTCCCCTTGCGCAGCAAGGGTGACGTCACTGAGGTGTTGATCGACTGGATCCGCGCAGCTCGTCTCCAGCTCAGAGAGAGTTTCGGCTCGGACTTTCCTGTTCTGCGTCTGCACTCGGACAGAGGGAGGGAGTTTTCCTCTGCCCGTCTGGGAGCCTTCTGTCGAGCACAGGGCATCCGCCAGACCTTCACGCTTCCAGCCTCTCCACAGCAAAATGGGATTGTTGAGCGCAGAATTGGCATGGTCATGGACGTCGCTCGTACATCCATGATCCATGTGGCTGCCCCCCATTTTCTGTGGCCGTTTGCGGTTCAATACGCAGCGCATCAGCTCAACCTTCAGCCCCGGGTCTCCTTGCCAGAGACGTCCCCCACCTTGCGGTGGACGGGGAAGGTTGGCGATGCGTCTGCGTTTCGGGTCTGGGGATCTCGGGCGTTTGTCCGCGACTTGTCTGCGGACAAGCTGTCCCCCCGTGCTGTTCCCTGCGTCTTCCTTGGCTTCCCCCCTGACGCGCCTGGGTGGCAGTTTTACCACCCCACCTCGCGCCGTCTTCTGTCCTCCTAGGACGTCACCTTTGACGAGTCGGTGCCTTACTACTGTCTCTTCCCCTACCGCACTGCGCCCCTCCCCCCGCCGCCGCTCTTCCTTGCGCCAGGTCCTCCCCCGGTAGACCCCCTCCCCCCTCAGGGTCCTGCCCCGTCAGGTGTGTCCCAGGTAGACGCAGTCGAGCCTTTCGAGGTAGCTGTTGACTCTGGTGCTGCTAGAGGTGCTGAGCCTGCGGGTGCTGGGTCTGGAGGTGCTGAGCCTGAGGGTGCGGAGCCTGGGGGTGCTGAGTCCAGGGGCGCGGGGCTTGGGGGTGCTGAGCCTGGGGGTGCTGAGTCTGGGGGTACTGAGCCTGGGGGTGCTGAGTCTGGGTGTGCTGAGCCTGGGAGTGCGGAGCCTGGGGGTGCTAGGTCTGCTCTTGTGGCCTGTCGCGGTGCTTCGTCGAGGCGGGAGTCACTCTCTCCGCAGGAGCTGCGCGAGTGGTTTGCCCGGCGCTGGAGCCGTGCTGCTGGAGCTGGAGGTACTACTGTTGCTGGTGGTCCCGGAGGTGCTCGTACTGGCGGTGCTAGAGCTGCTGGTACTGGGGGTGCTGCTGGGGCTGCTGGAGTTGGTCCTGCTGGAGGTACTGCTGGAGCTGCTGGCGGTACTGGAGCTGCTGGCGGTACTGGAGCTGCCGGTCCTGCTGGAGCTGGAGCTGCTGGAGCTGGAGCTGCTGGGGGTGTTGGCGCTGGTGGTTCTGCTGGCGTTGGTGCGTCTGAGGGTGCTGGAGTTGGCGCTGTTGGAGCTGGAGGTGCTACAGGCGCTGGTGCTGCCGCTCGGAGTACTGGTGCTGTCCCTGCTGGGTCTGGAGGCGCTGCGCGGCCGCGGCCGTACTTCGTTCCGCTCCTTGAGCAGGTTCTTGGTCTCCCGCCCTCTACTGGTCCTGCTCCTTCCTTAGAGGGTCCACAGCCTTTCCAGTCGCAGTCACAGTTATAGCCCGCCTCCACCCTACCTGCTCCTTCTCCCTACACTGGTCCTACTGGAGGTCTTGTTGAGTTTCGTGAGCCTGCGTCTCGTCCTGCGCCGCTTGTTCGTGCTGCTCGCACTAGTGGTCGTGCTCCGCGTCCGCGTCCTCCTGCGGTCCCAGGCACACACCAGATGGCACTGCGTCCTTCCACTGCTCCTCTGCGTGTCCCGTTGCCGTCTCCTCCTGTTCTTGCTGACCCGGAGTCTGACTCTCTTCGTGCTGCTAGTCCTACTATCACGCGTCTTCTCGCTACTGTTGTCACTGACCCTTCCTTTGAGTCCACTGCTGTGTCAGCCTTAGTTGCTGAGCTTGTCGACTTTGCTGCGCGATAGCGTCTAGACTACGCCGCTAGTCTTGTTGCTGAGTCTGAGTCTGTCTGTCCTCCGTCCGTCGAGGGTGAGTGTGCTTTTAGCACGGACGTCCTTGAGGACAAGCAGGAGGAGTTCCAGTATTTTGCTGCTGCTTTGCCTCATCTCGTGTCCACGCTGATTGCCCCTGAGGGAGACCCGGATGCACCAGACATCCCGACTATAATGGCAAGTACAAGCAAGGTTGATTTAGCATGCAAGAGCGAATGTCGGAAAGTAGTTCGTGGGACTACAAAGTAGAATGCAAGAAAGCTAGAGTGCCACAAGGAAATCCCGAAGGGATTGGATGAAGATAAGGTTGGGATTGGGTTGGGGGACTATTTAGGGTTAAAAGCCTTTGAGCACTAAAGTATCCCGTAACAGTGTAGGCCCGTGTGGAGGGTAGTTTCGAGATCCTTCGTGGTTGGGGACAGTGTGGCACTATTCCACATCACTGTACCTCGATTCTTGAGGTTTGTAGAGGCTAGGAGGCATTCCCACCTCATAACTCTTCCTAATTTGTATTCTAAGACTGTAGTGGCTGCCATAGTGTCTTTCGTTCAAACTCAGATTGCGTCGTCAATAGTTGATAAAATCGTGCGATATAAATTCCCTAGTGTAGACAACGTCAAGACGCTCGAGATCCAAGCTAACATGACATTTGGAGCTGTGACCAGAATGTCATGAATGTTCAAATCTGCTATGCAGAAATTCGACTGTGCACTCTATATTTCGTTTTAGGCACATTTGAGCCTATTG